TACTCGGCTTTCGTGTACCGTACGACGCAAGGTGTTGATTCGTACCACGCGCTGGCAGATATCGATAGGATCGGCGCGGAGTGTGGACTGTGTTGATCGCTGTGGCTGGGAACTGTGCAGTTCTTAACAGTGGAACTACAGATGGGTCAGAATGACCCGTTCCTAATTTTTTATAATTATTGAACAGATACTCGTGAGAAATTATCGCGGCAACTAATTTAGTAATACTACACTTAGCTAAACGACTACACACTTGTGGCTCTTACAAAGAAATGATGGATAGTCGGTTTAAATACTCGGTAGTTCTAGTGTAGAGTATTGACAGTTTTTAGTGCTGTTGGCTGTAATCCTTAATTGCGAGACGTAATTGCGATTAGTAATTGGAAACTTTGGTTTGTAGTTACTAAAACGATACTGAAGCTTCCAAAGCGATGGAAGTTCGAATTGAATAGTTTAGGATAGAAATTTTTGATACCTTGATCAGCGTATCACCTGAATTCTGGAGATACGACTTACAGTACAAACGTTAGAACGATTTTTCTCTCTGACGCGTGGAATAAACCGAATTTCTTAGCTACGAGGTGGAAACTTGATAGAGCCACTGTAAAAACGTTGATTTCCCAGTTTACGTTTCGTCGGGTTTGCTTGATCACACGGAATAATTCGACGATTTCCCTTATAGCGGTCAGTAAGTCGAAGAAAGAGGAAGCGTCCGGTAAAAGATCATGTTCAGCCTCATCTCCCGCTCGCGTCGGCTCGCTCTCAGCCTCCAGACTCTCCCAGCACTCTGGGAAACCAGTTCAGTCGATATTCCCGCTTCGACGCGGACGCTCTAGCCGGTCGGGTGCATCCGTGCCCCAGACTGGGTCAACCGAGAAGAGCCCAAGAAACCGTCGAAAGAACGGACAAGTGGCCGGCGAGTCGGTGGCGTTTGCGAGAGCAAAACGAGACGCGGTGAATTGATCGCCGGCGCGTCGTTCGTTTGCCACCGTCCGCGATTGTATTTAAATTCGCCGGGAATTGCCGCCATTTGTTCCGAACCGGAAGACCGGCTTTCGGCGCCAATGGATCGATAAATCTCGCGGCTCGAGGTAAGGTCGGAGCGTTCCGAACACGTCCCGGCCGTTACGTAAAATCTATTCGCGGAAAATCGGGCGCGAGCGCGCGGCCCGATGATCCTCCGCGGCGCGGAACGCCGAAAAAAGAAACGGAAGAAGAAGCGGAGGCAGAGGTGGAAGCAGAGGAAAAAGGAGACACTGACGAGCAAGATGAAAAACAAGATGAGAAACAGGAAGAGAGCAGAAGATAGAAATGCAGAGAGAGGGAGCTGGAGAGAGAAGTCAGCGCGAAGGCAGAGGCCACTTCAGAGGCAGGTTCTCGAGGCTTCTAAACGGACGGGGCCGAGAGGGTCCAGGCTTCCAATTAGGGCTCGTTAGGAATGCGCTTCGGGGTCCCTCATTGGCCGTAAAGCTCGCGAGATAACGGCTCCGAGGCCCGCGTCTTTCGCCCGTGGCTCGCAAACGAGCAGACACTTCGGCGAACGCGCTCCCTCGAGAGGGCACTCCTCGCGAACGGTCCACGGATCGTCGATTCGCGGCGAACCGCCGGAAACGGGCGCACGGGAACCCGAGGAGAACCGGCGGCGAGAGGCCAGAGAGCGAGAGGAGAGCCGGAGGAACCCGCGAAGCCGCGGGTCGATGCCGAAAGAAGCGGAACGCGCGCGCGGG